CTCCCTGGTTTAGAATAGTAGGGCTGTGCCGAATATTCTCATGTTTCAGTTTTTTGGACCACACGTATAATAATTTTGGGAACTAAGTGTTTTGAGTATGAGGGTGTTTCTCTTTATTGGTAACATGTGTGATGCTGTTGTTTCCCTTGCTTCTGCAACATTTGCTAAGCCTTCTATTTATCTCTCCAGCTGGATCAGTCACATGGGCAATTTCAATTTATCTGAGACCACATCGTGAATGGAATGATGTCATGCCATGAAGCATCCAATCAGATTTGGCTATATGACAGCATTGCTTGGAGCGAGGACAGTCAATTGTGAGTGAGTAAATGCTTTCTGGATTAATCATGTGAATGGCCCCAGCCAATCTGGAATCACAGAATGGCGTGCATCCTTACGGTTGTGGGTTGGGGCTCTGTGATAATATCATTGAGGGTCAAATAAGTTCAACTGAGAGGTGCAATGTGAGAGGCCAATGTAAACGAACAGGCAAACATTTTCATTGCCAAAATGTCATTGAAAGAGGAGGGTGGTTTGTTCGTTTTTTGACTTCGCCAACAATGTTCCTGAAAACAGTGAGTATTTTCCGCTCAGCCCTATAGGAGAGAAATCCTTACACTGTAGATTTTTGGGGTGGCCTAATTCATGTTTACCGAATGAATAAGAAAAAAACAAAATGAGCCAACAGTTGTTCCCTGTAGGTGAAAACCCTCCCTCGTACTGGGAGATGAAAGCAAGCACACTATTGTTCCTTCTCTCTGATTAACCTACACCTTCCTTTATTAAACAGACATAGTACTATGGCTTTATAATAATAAAAAGTTGTGTAGACTGCAGCTTGTTAATCTTTACATCCATTTGGAGGCATCTACTCAAGGTGAGTATGTACAAAATAAGGAATGGATGGGAAGTCGGTGGGGGAAGGGGTGGATTCGAATGAATGACTGGGGCTGTAGTGGCGGGGGGAGGGGGAAGAGGTGGCGTGATGCGTGGCAAGTAGAAATCCCCCATTTTATTAAGGAGAAATCCATTGCTTAACTGTCCATGGACTTTACTTCTTAAACATGTCCTGGAGGGGACCAGGCAGGTATTTGATAACGGTGTCTAGAATGCTTTCTTCCTCCTCCTCGTCCTCATCGCCGCAGCCGGGAGGGATGGCCTTCTTTGGACGTGTCAGGCTTCCTTCAGCGTTGGCTTCCAGAGCAGCTTGGGCCTCTGCTTCCCTTTCCTCCTTCTTCTTGATCCCATACTGCAGAAAGGAGTGGGAAGGGGGTGGGGGTGGAGAAACCCAAGATATTGTCACTCTCTCAGCTAAGAACGACAAATGCAAGCCACAGTGGATGCCCGTCCAATGTTAATATTAGCTTTTTATGAAGAGCTTGTCTCCCCCTCGTGTGGTGGTCAATAACGGCGAACCTTTGAATCGGTTGATTAAAGTTTATTTTTTTAAAATGTCAGGTCGGCCTTGAATGATGAAACTGAGAAAGAAAGTACGGCCTCCAAAAATCAAGGAAATGTTATACCGAAAAACAAATCTTCCTTAATCCTCTCCTCAGCTGCACAAAAACCTAAATATAGAAAGAGAGCACTTTTACCGAGTGGTAACTTATCAAAGGGGATAAAATCAACCCTTTGGAGATCTGTCTGTGGGGGTAAGCAGAGTGTTTACCATTCCTCGGCTTCCCTGGATATTTTGGTGCCGTTGTGAGGTAAAATTTAAAGCTGCCAGTGAACTCCAGCTAAATTGGATTTTTTTTTTTTTACTCTGGGTTTCAAGAGACACATTTCCCCCCCCAGATTTATTTGGGGCCTCTAATGTCCAAAACAGAGACAAAAAGACCCCCCCCCCCAATCAGGCTTTTTCAAAGTGCTCTATTTATTCTTATTATTTATTAATTAAACTTATGAACCGCCCATCTTGCAAGCAGGCTCTGGGTGATTTACAACCTTAAAAAACATTTTAAATACAGTCAATATAAACATAATATAAGATATCCTTCCTTCCTGCCCTCATCAGGGGCATCAAGGTAGCTAACAGATTAAAAACATACATAAAAATACTTCTTAAAAACCATTAAAACCAAAACAAAAAGACATCTTTCAAACAATAAAAACCTAGTTAAAATACGCGCGCACAATACAATGCATCAAAACAACCATTAAAAATGGGGCAGGGACCACTGATGGAATGCCTTGGAAAAAACAAAAAGATCTTCACTATGCCCCACTGCATCTTCATTCTACTTTGGGGGCTGTCATTTCAGTCGCCAGAGCACTGTTTCTTCTGGCCCACCATGAGTTTTGTGCTCAAGACTGAAGTAGGATTCTCAGGTCCCCCCCTGGCCACCAGCAGGGGATGGGGAAATAGAGTTGCCATATCCAGGTTGGGAAATTCTTGGAGATTTGGGGATGGAGCCTGGGGAAGACAGGGACCTCAGTGGTGTACAATGCCACAGAGTCCACCCTCTAAAGCGTCCATTTTCTCCAGGGGAGCTGATCTCTGTAGTCTGGAGATGAGCTGTAATTCCAGGAGATCCCCAGGTCCCACCTGGAGGCTGGCATCCCTAGACTGAAGTTAGCACCTGCACTGATAAATCTGTTTGTGTTGACTCCATATTCATGGACATGAAATCCATGCTTTCCTGGAGTCAAACAGTTAATATTTCCTGAAATAGCTTGTGTCCTACCACCATTCTGCTCAAAGTGAACAATGCCCTTGACTTGGCTGTCCCCAGATGGTTTTTGAGGTCCAGGGCTACCTCTCAGGTGGTAACAAACACAGACAGCTTCAAGAGGGGACTGGATAAACTTTTGGAGCAGAGGTCCATGAGTGGCTTATTAGCCACAAGGTCTAGAGCAGGGGTGTCGAACTCATTTGTTACAAGGGCTGGATCTGATGTAAATGGGACTTTGAGGGGCCAGGCCACACTTGTCATAAAATGTAATGCCAGGAAGCAGAGATATAAATTTTATAAAAGATACAAACACAAAGATTTTTTTCTTAAAATACAAATATGCTTAAAACTCTTGTGATATTTTGTTTATTTAACAGTCTTTGATAACTGACACCTCCCAAACCTACCCCCCCCCTAAAAGATGTCTGCCTAAAATGGAAAGGTTGGATAATAATGGGATTTGGTGGTGCAGTTTTTAAAATAAAACATCAAGAAAAGGCACAAGGATCACAGCAGAAACTAAAAATACAAACTAAAAATATCAAATGCTCTGAGCCTAGGAACATAAAGTGGCTGGGCATTGCAAGCTTCTCCACCCCCCCCACCCCCATTCTACTCAGTGGCAGTGGCTCTCCAGTGTAACGTCCCCCTTTGGCTGTGGGTTCCCAGGTTAGAGTACTCACTCAGGCACCCATTCTCAGGTCCATTCAGCAGAGACAAGCTGGCTCAAAACATCAACCCTATATTTGCAAGGAGAGAACTCCAGCAAGCAACAGCTTCAGCTATACAAACACTGAAAAATGAAACTACTTGAGCTCCACGCCATTGAAATACATTGTAGCACAGACAAAGTTGCAAAAAAAATGTGGAATGGATTTCCTATTAAGGTCTCTGGGCCCACATAGATTACTCTGGTACTGGAATGAAAGTCCTTGGGAGTAGCAGAAGCATTCTGGGATTGGAATGAGGGCTCCCATAGTGGAATTCCATTCCCAGAATGCTGCTGCTACTCCCCAGGGCTGTCATTCCACTCTGTGCCCTGTCATTCCAGTCCCAGAACACAGATTCTATTGCTAGGGACCTTCATTCTACTTTGGGGGCTGTCATTTCAGTCCCAGAGCACTGTTTCTATTGTAAGAAACAGTCCCAGGATAGTCTATCTGGGTGCAGACACCTTAATGAGAAAATCCTTTCCATATTTTCTTTGTAACTTTGCAATCCCAGAAGAGCTTCCTGCAGAAGCATGCAAAGACAAGATGCAAGGAGCTGGGAACTTTGGCAGCCTCAAGCTTCAGAGGGGGAGGACAGGAGGGGGAGGAGGGGGGAAGAAAAGAGCTGTGGGCTGGATTAAACTGGGGGGGAGGCTGCTTCCAGCCCACAGGCCTTAACACCTCTGCTCTAGAGGGAACACTATGCCTCAGACAGTGATGCTCTGTGTTCTTGGTGCTTGGAGAGCAACAATGGGAGTGCTTCTGGAGTTCTGGAATCGCTGGTGGACCTCTTGATGGCACCTGGGTTTTGGCCACTGTGTGACACAGAGTGTTGGACTGGATGGGCCATTGGCCTGATCTAGGGTTGCCAGGTGGGGGGATAGAGCTCCCTTTCTGGGAGAGAAGTCATTTGGATCAGGCTAGGCTCACTATTCCCCAGGGGGACAGGGGTTTGCCCACTTCAGGGCCCCCTGATCCGCCAGCCCGGATTTGGAGGGTGTGGGGAATTCTGCCCCCAAAGAGCTGGAATTACACCAATGTACCTGGCATGATGATGTCACCAGAAGTGATGTCATGATGGTAGGCACATTGCCTGGGGGGTGCTCTAGCATTTAGTCAGAAATTCTATGGTACCATAGAGTTTTTAGGCCAAGTGCTAGAGCATCCCCCCCCCCAGCAACATGCCCGTTGCAATGACATCACCTCCAGTGATTCCAGCACTTTGGGGCGGGGTTCCCCCTGCCATCCGGATCCAGGCCAGCAGATCGAGGCACCTAAAGTGGGCAACCCCCTGCCACCCCCAGGGGAATCACAAGCCTAGCCTGATCCACCATGGCTTCTCTTATGTTCCTATGTTTTTAATCCATGCTGGAAAAGTTGCTACAGACTTGGAGGTCTTTTGGTACTACTGAATATTAGATTATGTTTTCAGGCATTTGCCTGTTCTTACAACCCTAAATGCCTGCTATGGCCCTCTCAATGTGGACTGGGCCCTCCTACCTCTTTCCTCACCCGGGCTTGGACTGCTGAGGACACTAAGAGCAGGAAAGAGAGCCTGATCTGTATGAGAAGGAATGCAGCAGTTTGGGGAGTCACAAGGTGCTGGACGTGCACGTGATAGTGCCAGCCAAGATATTCCAGGGCTCAGAGGCCCCAAAACCAGGCTCAGTATTCCTAATGTACTCACTGTTCAGAATGAATGGATTCCAGCCATTTCCTAGCCAAAACCTCACCTCATTTGGTCACCTTTTACTATACACTAATGGCATGGGAATTGTTGTAGCACTGTACCTTGCCATTCTACCATATCAACATGGAAGCTGCCAGGCCATTTGGAAGGACCCAGCGATGCAGCTTTTCCCCAGGGTCTGCACTGAATAGCATAGTGGGTCTCAGTAGGGTCAGTGTTTGCCCAGGGCTATCAGGCAAACTCCTACCCCTGAGCTCCAAGTCCCACTAGGGCTATTTGCTCCAGTGAGAACAGAAATGGTGGATGGGAAGCAATGTCATGACAGTACTTCTGGTTGTACTCAGAGATGACATTGCAACATTATAGGTATCTCCCAGATCTCTATGGTTCTTACCAAGGGTTCTCAATCCCCAGGTCCCAGCAGGGGTTCCCCCACTTTTAGGGGCCTGGATCCACCACCGGCCAGTTGGCCAGCAGAGGAAATCCTATCCCCGAACAGGGATGCCGCTGTGCAACGTCCCCAATGCAATGACGTCATGTGACACTGGTATGTGCAACGTCCCCAATGCAATGACATCATGTGACACTGGTATCGGGGGGACACTCTAGTTTTTGGGCAAACTCTATGGTTTTGAAGTAAAACAACCATAGAGTTTTGCCCAAAAAACTAAAGTATCTTCCCCGACATTGGCGATGTGATGATGCCACTTCTGGGTGATGTCATCATGCTGCACATACTTCAAGCACACACTAGAACATCCAGGAGAGGACTCGGGAGGACCCAGGTAAGTAGAACCTGACAACACTATTCTTACTACTTACTGTTACTTACTATTCTTACCACTACTACTTACTTATATAGTACTACTTACTATTCTTACTACTTACTATTCTTACTACTTACTATACTTACTACTACTACTTACTACTTATTCTTACTACTACAATTACTACTTACTATTCTTACTACTACTACTGTTGCTCCCCTCCACCATTTTTTTCTGCTGCTGGAGAGAAGATGGGGCCTGGCAATCCTGGGTCCCAGGGAGGTTTCCAGCTCTATCACTGAAGGGGTATGTGTGTGTGGGGTCCATGTTGGAAGGCATCAGGCTTGCGGCTGCAACACTATGATGGCACGCAGAGACAGAATGGATAGTTGAAGCTGGTTTTAGAA